CATCACTTAACAACAACATAACAACAAAGGTCAGCTATGCAGCAGTTCGGAATAGATGGAATGTTAACATTAAGAGCATCAGTATGCTGCTCCTCTCCACAGGGTCCTTTCTGGCCTGCGAGGTGCCAGGAGCAGCTATGAAAAAGGCAGGGGTAGGAGGGCATGCATACTGGTAGCAACACACACTGATCATCTTGATGCCGGCTGAGCCCCCACGTTGCCATCATGCCTCCAGACTAGCTGCTAGGCTCAGAGCGGCTCAAGCAGGGCCAATGTCCAGCAGTGCCAAGGCCACAACAGATCCAGGCTCCAGGGTTCCTCTTCCTCATCTCTGTACAAAGACCTAATCTTTGAGACCTAGCTACATTTGTAAGTGAGGAGCTGGTATACCCTTTTCCCAAAAGTGTAGATCATGGTAGATTTTCAGGAGAGAGAGAGAGGAGAGGAGAGGAGAGGAGAGGAGAGGAGAGAAGAGAGTTTGGTTTAATGACTAATGCCCTAGGCTTTCTTTAAATCTATAAAACAAGAAGTTGTTGTTGTTGTTGTTATATGCTATAAGCAAGACCTCTGAAGCCTCTGAAACTGTCCTGAGTCAGTATCAATTACTTCAACATACCTACCCGCATTACTCTAGTTACTGTATCAATCCGTCTCATCCAGGGTCTTCCTCTGCTATGCTGTTCCTCTACTCTTCTGAGAATGATGTTCTTCTCCAAGGATCTGTCCCTCCTGGCCACATGAGATGGAGTTTCAAAATCCTAGTCTCCAAGGAGAAACTTGGTTTCACCCTCTCCAAGACCTATTTGTTTTCTTGGCTATTCTACTTTTCCATCACCAGTTCTTGAAATGCACTGGCATATAATAAAAAGGAGTAAAAAAGAAATTGTAATTTTAGAAAAAGTTCCACCTTAATCTGTACCCACCATGATATCCACACAAGTCTGCCTAACAAAAGAACATGACCTGTGGGGACCTGGATGCCACAGCATCTTCTGAAGAAATCCAACCGCTGCTGAAATGATTTTATCAGAACCTACTTTAATTTCTATTTTCCAGTTAAAGACTTAACTAGTCTCCCTAATACCTCAGGCCCAGAGTTAGCCATAATTTTTCCTCTTTTTTTTTCCTTTCAGTCCATTGATGACAAAAAGTAACCTCTCATAAAGCTCCCTGCCTCAGTCTCTAATTTTTTATTTATCCCTAAGCTCATGGGACATTTGATTTAGGTGGAAAGAATTGTTTTATAAATGCAGGATTCCTTTCCCTTGTTAGCAGGAAACATGGAACAAAAAAGACGTAAACTAACAGATTTGAGGTAAATAAAGGGAGATAGATTATTTGTTCACTTTATGTTGTATGTGTCATCGAGTCTGAACTGACTCATAGCTGAATCTCTGGTAGGTTTTCAGAGGCTGTAAATCACATGGGAAGAGACTGCTCATCTTTGTCTTGAGGAGCGGCTGGTGGATTTGAACTGTCAGCCTTTGAGTTGGTAGCACAACTCCTTATGCAATAGGACATCACGGTGCCCTGGTTCCTGGTTCACTTGTAGTCACTCAAATCCTTATGGACTAAAGTTGTCACCTTCCCTTTTCCCCCTCCCTAAAGCCACTGACAGATTCTTTCAAAATCAAAGGCACAAGATTTTATTTATAAAAGATCTTTGAGCCTGGAAAATTTGACCATTTGAACATGTGCTGAGCTGCCTTCTGGATGTGATGCTGGCATTTTCTGTATTT